CATGGCGGCCCGGAGCGCCCCGAGCTGCCACCTGCGGCTCGAGTGGGTGTACGGCTACCGGGGCCACCAGTGCCGCAACAACCTCTACTACACCGCGGCCAAGGAGATCGTGTACTTCGTGGCGGGGGTCGGCGTGGTGTACAGCCCGCGGGAGCACCGGCAGAAGTTCTACCGCGGCCACAGCGACGACATCATCAGGTACGGGAGCGGGGCCCGCCGCCGCCAGCCCCGCAGTTGGCGCCTCCGCGTCCTCCCGGGCGCCGTGACAGCCCTGCGGGGAGCACCGCCGGGGTGGGGGGTCCGCCGCGGTCTAGTCCCGAGTCCGCGGGTCACCGCCCCGCCACCCCTCCCGGCCGGCCTGGGAACTGTCTCGGGTCTGTGCGGCATCCTCGAGTCCGCGGATCCACCGCGGTTTGACAGCTTCGTACACTTTCCCCCTCCATCCGAATTATAAAAACTGCGGAAAGGTTATTTTGGTATCACTTTATACCTTTACATCCCGCCACAGATTTCTTAATAAACGAATTCTTAAAGCGCCAGGGGAAAATCCTTTACCTAGTAAACAACTGGCCGAAGCATCCTGGAGGGCGCTGACCTTTTGGCCCTAACTACTAGTTCGGGATTCCCTGCCTGCTGCTATTAGATAGAAAAGGAACCGCTCAGCAGTGCGTTGGACTTAGTTAAGATTCACACACCCAAAGGCAGTTTTAGGCAGGTCTTATCCGAAGAAGGTGCTAAAAATAACTCCACTGATTTCCAATTCTCTTGTTCCACCTTCTTTAAAGTACTCCTAAGTAAGTTACTTTTGCATTTTTTCATTAAGTCACCATTTTGGGGGGGGGTATTTTTATTCTTTGTTGGAAGTTGTGCTTGTTTACGTTTCGTAAGTGAGCCATGTATTGGAAGTGTTATTTTCAATCAGTGTCTCAATGGAACTTTTGTGGTAAAGTTAAGAGCTCTAGAAATTATTCTGGGCCGCTGATTATTGCCTCAAGCACAGCATTTTTGTCCTTTACAGAGGAGAATATATTAAAAAACACTTTGAGAATGTGTGTGTGTGCTGCTTCTGGTTTTTTGTTTTTGAGACACAGTCTCCTTCTGTTGCCCAGGCTAGAATGCAGTGGCCAGACTGTCTAGCTCACTGTAACTTTGAACTTCTGGGTTCAGACTATTCTGTCTCAGTCTTCCAGTAGTGGGTACTACAGGTGCTTGCCATCACACCTAGCTGATTAAAAAATCAAACAAACAACATTTTAGGGAGGGAAGTGGGTCTTTGCTTGTCTTACACACCTGGCCTCAAATAGTCCTCCCACCTTGGCCTTTCAAAGTGCTGGAGTTGTAGGCATGAGCTCCCAGACCTAGCCACTCTGGTGTTTTAACAGAGATTCTATGATTGGTTTGGTTACTCAGTTTTATTCTGTCCTGTATGTTGCACAAGATTTAAATTGGGCATTTCAAATCCAATGTCTTCGTTTGACGTCTTGTAGGCAAGAAGTCCTGGTACTTTAATTCCCCAAATAGATTGTTCTTCTGTTTTGCATCTCTGTGCATCTATAATGTTATAATGTGTAACAGGGAAGAGGAGGCCTAGGACGAAGGTAAGAAAGGATGGAGTAAAGATAAGGATGGCAAAAATTGAGATTTTAGAATAGGAATGAGGCAGTGTTTATTTTTTAGACACTGAAGCAGGGGTTTTTTTTTAGACTGTACATATGTATCTGGTTGGAAAGGAAACTGACAAGTCATTTTCATTTTTCTCAAGTTAGGATTCTTTATGTAGTGGTGACTAGGGTTATAGACCTATTATAATCCAAATCACTGATGATAAAAACAAAGCAAACAAAATCTGTAGTAATTTTTTATCTTGTTATTAGTCATCCTACAGAGTTTACTCCAGTTTCTTGTCTTTTTCTAATCCTTTCAAGTCTCTCTCTTTTTCCACATTTTAGGAACCAGGCAGAGTAATTGCTTTATCTAGAAGCAGCAGCCTTGATTGAAGCCTTCCTCCAGACATTCAGTATGTTAGGTAGAATTCTGTTGAATTCAGGAAGGAAGGAGAGGGTAGGTGTGAAGGATTTTGAGGACTTCTTATGGTGTACTTGTACTGTTTTTACTCCTTGGTCCTTGTGGGAGCAGTATGGTACTAAGGCCTTCTGAAACTAGATGCAGTTTATTTGTTGGGGTGAATTATGTCTTTTATTTTTCTAGGAGTAACTAGAAGATATATTACATGTCACACTGCTTGAATCTTTATAGATGTAGTTCATTAAACTATATAGAAGATAATGCTTTTGCCTTTTTTAGTATAGTTACACATTTATCTCAAAATATTTCAAAATTATAAATATACTCTAATTTTGCCATAATTGCATGCCTATGATCCTGCAAATTACACACCTTAAAAGAACATGTAACAATGAAAGTGGTTTACTGAAAAATTACAATGAGGTAGTAAAATCTGAATCATACAGCATCTTGAAATTGGTGGCACAAATTTAATATGACTTAGCCGTCAAAGGTCTCTGGACATTTTATTTCAAGTAGTAACAACAGATCTTTCTGGTTTGTGAAATAGATCAAGCAAATATTAAAACCTCTAATTTTTTTTAGTTCGGTGTTTTACCTGTAAGTGTAGAAGCATTTCCAGTAATTTTTCAATTATGTCACAGCAAAAGATATAATATTCCTAAATGTGGTTCATGATGAAAAACAATGTGTTATAATTTTAGCCTTAGTAGTAAAAAGTCAGCGCTGTTATCATCATCTGTTTCCATGTTTGCTTGAAACTTACATAAAAACTTACTGGTCAAATACAACTTAGCTTGGGGTTAAGACTGTTACAGAATGAGAAGATCATTGTCCTTAGATTTTGAAAATGTAAGTATTAGATTGGTTGTAAAGACTGAATCACAACCAGTCTTTAATTTGCCTACTAGCTCTAGTACATTCTTATTGTCATCTAGGATTGCCAGTGGTGATGCCATGTGACATCATTTTCTCTGTGTTTCTTGTAGTTGTTTGTCTCCTTTTTGCCATACACCTGTGTATACTTCTCTGGTCATTTATCCTTTAGTTATATTTAGTCCAGTAACTGATTTATATAGAAATTAGCTTCAATGTCAGAAATAACACAGGACTTTTTTGGATCACTTTATTCTTTTTTCCCCCTGTGTCTCAAATTATATTGATTAAATTCTCTAGTGAGGGCGCAGTGCCCATAGCACAGTGGTTATGGCACTGGCCAAATACACCAAGGTAGGTGGGTGGGTTGGAACTTGGCCCAGGCCAGCTAACCAATGACAATTGCAACAAAAAAATGGCCGGGCATTGTGGTGGGCACCTGTAGTCACAGTTACTTGGGAGGCTGAGGCAAGAGAATCGCTTAAGCCCAAGAGTTTGAGGTTGCTGTGAGCTGTGATGCCATGGCACTCTACCAAGGGTGACATAGTGAGACTCTTGTCTCCAAAAAAAAAAAGAAGAAAAGAAAAGAAAATCTCTAGCAAGTAGGTATTTATGACAGGTTTGAGATTAAGTTATAAAATAGACTATTAGTTTTAGCATAAGATGCACATCTATAGCTTAGTCTACATTTTGAAACTTTTTCCAGTTTTCAAAAGAATATGATAGTTTTTAAACATTTGTTTTTCTTGTTACTGCCCATCAGCAATTTTTTGCAACTTATTCTTAAAGTATTGGATATTATTGACAGTTTTCAAATCATTTATGCCAGTCAAGACCATTGATGGATTGTAATTAACTTGATATATTTTGGTACTTGACTCTGATTACTTTATGGGCATAATCATCATTTTTTATGTATTTTATAGGTAAAGGATTTGACGTACTTTTTGTTTTAACATAGAGTATCTCACAAGATAGTGATAAGCTCAAATGACAATACAACTGAAGTATACCACATTATTTGGTTGCAGGTTAGAAGAATGATTATTATTCATTTCTTCTAGGTATGACTTTTTTAAAATTTAAGACAAAATGGAAGTTGTAGTAGCACTTCTCTTCAATAGTAGAGGATGGTGTTTTTAAGAAAGACAGCTGGTGGAGCCTCTCTATAATCTACTAACAGTGGTTTTTGACAGATCAGTATTTATAGTATAGAAATTTCGGAGGTGCTTATAGCTCAGTGGGTAGGGTGTCAGCCACATACACCCAGGCTGGCGGGTTTGAACCCGGCCCAGTCCAGCTAAACAACAATGAAAACAACAAAAAAGGCCAATTGTTGTGGTGGACGCCTGTGGTCCCAGCTACTTGGGGAGGCTGAGGTAAGAGAATCGCTTAAGCCCAATATTGGAAAAGCATTTCAAAATGTATGATGTTTCCATGGTGGATCAGTACTTTTTGCGTTTATGTACGTTCAGAGAAGCAACTTTTAAAGTCTGCCAGGAATTGCTGCAAATCTCCTTACAGTCTATTTAATGTTCATGATTTCCTAAACCTGGTTAATCATCAAAATTGTTTGAAAAGCCTTCTATTGATTTCTAGCTTTTTTCTCAGATGCACTAAATCAAAATTATGTAGGGGTGGCTCCCAGGAATTGGGTTTTTTTAAGTGCTTCAGATGATTCTATTTGGGAAACGGATTGACATCCTGCATCCCAAGTCTACCATTCTTCACATTTGCAATTTGTGAAATGCCTACAAATCCCCTTCCTCAAACTTAATACCAGAATTTTTCTTAAGAGTGTAATATCTAGAAGCAGTACTTCAGAAAGTATTAAAATACACGCAGATTTCTTAAAATGTCCCTATGTTTAAGTAACTAGAATTAGGTGGACTTAACTTTCACAGACTGTAGCAATTTTATTCAGTAAGATTTCACCTTTATGTGTCTGGATGTCAAAATATTTATGGTTATGTTTTAAATACTACATAATTAAAGGGATAATATTAAGAGATGTTGTTTTCAGGGAAAGGTAGGAATTAACTAGATTATAGTTGAAATTGTCATAAATATATAGTAATTATATCTTTATTCTTTATGTCTTTAGAAAAACCTAAATTTTAGATTTGTATTTTAATAACTACTTTCCTGTATTATTTTATAATGTTTTATGTGCAAATATGCAGACAACTAATAAAATATAGTGTTTAGGATATACAGTAAGGGAACCGTGGAATTCTTAGGAGCTCTTAAGAACTCACTATTATTTTAAGGTTTTCACACGTATTAAAGAAATGTTT